TTGGTTTTTGGAGTGTGGGATGGGCAGGAGGAGCAGAGGTGTGTGTTTGTCCTGTGTGGGTTTGATCCAGAGCCCGTGGGAAGATCCAATCTGGTGTCTGGAGCAGGCCGTGGCTGGATCTATGTGAGCCCTGGGTGGGATGTGTACGTGGGTTTTCCAAAGGAAATGCTGCCAGCAACATTCCCGGGATCTGGTCCTGCCCCGTGTCCGGTGCCCAAGGCTTAACAAAGAGTGTTCCTGCTCCATGAAGCCCTCCCACTCCCCAGCTCCGTGTTCCAGGGGCAGGGAGAAGCCTTAGAGGGGAAGAGCTGGCTGCATGAAACACCTTATGCTCTCTGGGCTGGCACTTGGGAGGGACTGGGGGAAAAACAAGTGGTTTTCTTTTGACTTGGTCTCCCCCCGGCCGCAGCTCACAGCCCATGAGCAGGTGGTGTTGGTCTGACCCTGAGGGATGATCCATTTCCTCCCGGGCTGAGCCCAAATCTGGGCTCTGCTGCTGTCAGCAGTTGAGCAACCATGGAAAAGCTGTGAATCCTCACACTGCCCTGGGAGTGAGAAGCCACGAGGAGCAGAGGGACCCATGGGACCGGCCCATGGGCATCTCCCTGGCACTCCACAGCCAGCCTTTCCCCTCAGCCTCCCTCCCTGGGGCAGGGCAGGAGCAGGAGTGGGTCCCCTGCAGCTCATCCAAGCTGTGCCAGAGCCTGTTTGAAGCTCAGGAGAACAAGCAGCCATGAGCTCCTCCCTGTGATGTGGCTCCTCTGCTCCTCCTCCCCGAGACACTGCTGCCTGGCTTAATTTAGGAAAAGAATAAAGATGGATCAAATATGTTCGGGTTTTTTTAGCTGGAAGGGGTATGTTGGGTGATGCCTCCCCCTATTTTTGAAACAAGCCATCCTGATTAAAGTAGGGCTTTTCCCAGCCTGGGAACAGGGGGAAAATATCTGTGCAGGGACACCGGGTCCCCGCTGCCTGCCCTCCCCAGTCCTTCACCCTGCCCTCCCTCCTCTGAGCCCCCACAGCTGCCCGTTGCCTTGCCAAAGCCTTTTCATCCCGGTGGAATCCCCCCTCTCCCTGCCACCCACCATCATTCCCGGGTCTCGGGGAGGAGGGCCGAGCTGTGCATGTCCTCCTCCTCTCGGAAGTAGGCAGGTTTCCCCTGGGAGCTGGGGGACTGCTGTGCTTTCGCGGGGCAGTTGGCGACCATGTGGCTGATGCTCTGGCAGAAGTGGCACTTCTTGGGCTGTGGTGGGAGCTTGCACTCCTTGGCGTGGTGGTCCAGCCCGCCGCAGTTGTAGCATCTGTGTGAGGGGAGAGATTCCAGGAGGAGAAATGAGGTGGGATGTGCCATGGCCGTGCCCGGGACCGATCTGGCTTCACAGCCAGAGCTGGGCTTTGAACAGCCCGGCTGCTGCAGGGATGTGGGCTCGGCTCTTTGGGGCTGATGGTGGCCCTGGGGTTGGTCCCTGCAGAGCCCCAGCTCCAGCAGGGCCAGTTTGGGCTCAGTGGTGCTGCTGGTACCCAGGAGATGGCAGCAAACCCCTGCACCAGAACCACACACGGGGGACAAAAATCGGCACGTCGGGGGCTTCCACCCCTCTGGCTCCATCAGGATTCTGGCTCCTGTGTCTCCAGACCCCGCTCCCAGGGTTACACAGCTCTCAGAACTTGCAGGGACCATGGCCATCAGTGTAGGGACAACCCAAAAGGTGGCTTCTTCTGTACCTTCCAGCCCCCATCCCACGGGTGCCACCTTCACACCAGAGGCGTGTGGGCAGAGGGAACTACACTGTGTCCATATCACATCCTGCATCCTTGTAGGATGGCCACAGCCCTTTCCTCTTGCCTTTTCCTTCCCAGTTCCTTTCTGATTAGTTTATGAGAACAGCAGAGTGGGGCAGACAGCATCCACTGGGAAAACTGGGATGAGGCATCTCCAGGAAGCCGAGATGGAGAGGATGGGAGAGGAGAGGGGGAGATGAAGAGCTGGCCAGAAACTCGCCCCAGGGCTCGCAGCCTCACCGTGGGAGACGCTGCCAGGACGTCCGGGCTATTTCCTTCCCACAAGGAAGGGTTGCTCTTGGAGAAAATTACCCCTGCCCAGCACGGCTCCCTGAGCCGAGGGGAGCGGCCGCCCGGGGTGTCCCTGACCTCTGCCCTTCCCTGCTGCTTCCCTGCCCTTTCCCCACCGAGCTGCATCTGCCACTCATTAGCTGCCAAAGGAAGCTGCTTTCCCAGAGGAAGGGTCGCTGCCCACCCCACCGGACTCGTGCCCATCCCCAGGGTACCCAGGCAGCTCCTGATCCTGCCCGGGCTCAGCCCTGGCTCAGCCCTTACCGGTCTCCTTTGGATCTGCGTTTCTGGAGGCTCTTGCCCTTGGGCCTCCTCTCGCTGCCGATGCAGAAGACGCCCCCCGGGCCGGTCACCCGGATGGACTCCAAACCTTTGGATGACTTCTTGAAGGTGAACTCGACAGCCTCGCCCTCCTTCAGGCTGCGGAAACCCTCCATGTGGAGCTTGCTCTGGGGGAGAAGGATGGGGGTGAGCACAAAGCTGGGGGTGTCCACTGGGCACACGACAAGCCCCAGCCCAGCAAACACCTCCTGTGGCACAAGGGCTGCCAACATTCCCCTGTGCCTGTCCCTTGTGAGGGGATAGACAGTGAGGATCAAGCTCAACCAGGCACCTTCATCTCCCTAAAATGTCTGGAGCCCTGTTTGATAACACAGAGCATTCAGTGAGCTCAGACACCCGGCTGAGTGGGGCTCACTGGTTTAAGGGCCAGCAGAGACAGCTCAGACACAAATTTCAACAAAATATTGGCTGTCAGCGCTGCAAAACAACTCCCTTCTCCCACCCAGCCCCGTGCTGGGAAGCAAGAGCTGCTCCTGCACCTCCGAAACATCATTTTAAAAATACAAAAGGATCTCGAGGCTTCGCACAAGCACAGTCATGGCAGGACCCACAGTAAAGCCAGGAGGCTGGAAGCTGGCACTGCCAGCCCCCTCACTGCAGCTCACCTCAGTTCAAGCCATTTAATCACCTCCAATAATTAATTAAGCAGCCATTTGGCCCGGGATTATCACTGCTGGGAGCTTCTCCCACCCTTCCCAGGACCCCCTCTTATCCCTCCCAGGATCACCACAGCGGTCATCACAATGCAAGTCAGAAAGACCCAGGCTAGGGAGGGGGTTGTGGGATGATAGGAAAATCCTCTCCACTTTCAAGAGCTCTGTCCATTTTAGCAGAACAAATCCCTGAGGAGCCAAGCTGGGCAATGCAGGCGACAACTCTTAACCCCCTGTGCCACGAGCATCACTGCCAGCTCTGCCTGAGGGCCACTCAGGCATCCCGGGCAGCAATTCCAGCACGGGCATTCCCTAAGCTCCGTCAGGCAGCAGGAGCCCAAACGACCACGACCAAAAGAGTTAAGGGGATTTGCTGGCAGAGGGAGGAGCAGCTCCAGCGGGCTGGGGATTCCCAGCAGAGCCGGCGCCAAACGCCTGCGCGGCTGCGGCAGGACCCTGCATTTATGAATGGAGCATCTCCCCCCATTCATGGCCCGGAGGGTTCCCGTCACGTGGGGCCGAGCTCGCCCATTCTTCCCGCACGGAGCCTCTGTGTGAGCGCTGCCCGGGACAGGCAGGCACGGTCCGTTCCCATCTGCACCCCAAATCTCACCAGGACCCACGAGGGAGCACCCCATGTAAAAGCAGAGAGGGAAGGAGACGAGTTGTTGGGGTTTAGGATTGAAATTTTCCTGGGGGGTTCTTGCAGGATGTCCATGGGCCTGTGGGGGAAGTGGGAACGCAGCAGAGCTCGAGGAACAACCCTTGAGACCCTTTTTTCTGCTGTTTCCCCCCTTTTCTGTGCCTGGTGGACCAAATCTTTACGCGACAAACCCCATGGGCTGGGCCAAGTCACCCTTGCCTGCTGGTATGGGATCCAGAGCAGGCCAGATGGGATTGCCCTTTGCTCTCTGACCTGCTCCTGCTCCCAAAAGGGAGAATCATACCCTAAGCCATGAGGTCCCCAATGACAACAAGGACATGACAGGGTCTCATGGCCACCTCTGCCCACCCAGGGCAGTTCCAGCACCACCTACCACTGGCAAAGCCCCTGCCACGCTCAGAGGGGCACCCAACCACTGCTCCCCAACCCCAACCCAGCTCCCCCCCAGTGCTGAGCATCCCCCCAGCAGGAGCTCAGTGCCCAAAGCCTCGACCAGCACATCAGAGGAGATGCCTCAGCACCTTGGGGTCAGTCACCCACCCTGCCCTGTCCTGTCCTGTCCCCGGCGTGTTAAGCACTTTGGGCGACAGGAGCTACCACAGATGGGGAATTTACCCCACTCCAGCAGCAGCCATGGGGTTTTGGGAACCAGGAGGGGCTGAGCATCATTCCCTGGAGGCCGGGGGACAAGACCAGCCACCTCCTGTGGCTGCTTTCGGGGTGTTTACAGCCCCAGCTGGCCCAGCTGTGTTTACACTGCGGGGATGAAAACTCCCAGGCGCTCTGGGACAAAGCTGAGCCGTGGCAGGGGGGACCCTGGMGCACAGGCTGGGCCCCCCCAGCTGAGCCCACACCTTGGGCACCATCGCCCCGGTGGCAGGATCCACCCCTGCCCAGCCATTCCGAGGAAGAGGAGGGCTGGGGCAGAAGCTGCTGCAACATGACGGGGGAAGCGATTTATTTTCCGGGATCGGGCGAGGATGACAACCACCCCCCCAGCCCCCTCTGCCAAAAGGCCAAAGGAAACGCCCTCTCCCCGGGGAAGGGGGGGGGACAGAGGCTGGGGCGCCCCAGCTCTCCCCCCCCCCCCCTGCAGCCTTTTGATGTGAGCTGCAGAGTGGCTGGTGGTCCCTGCGCATCCCCCCTGCCCCCTTCCCAAAACACACACATTGCTGGCATTCCTCTGTTATCAGATAGGTAATCAAACTGCAGCCCATTGAATTAGCTGCATACCTCCTGCATCTGAAAGGAAGGGGCCCAGAGCCCCTGTCCCACACCACACACAAAGCCGGAGCCTTCCCAGGCCTCCACACACCCACACCCCCCCCCAAAAAATAAAGAGAGGAAGGGGGGGATTGGAGCGAGCCGGGGATGCTGGGGATGAGGGGGAGCGCAGGGGAGGGCCAGGGCCGGGAGCCACCGGCCAGCGAGAACAAAGGGCCGGCGGCGGCCGCGCTCCCGCTGCCCAAATTCCAGGAGTTCCAGGCCCCGGCGGGGGGAGGAAGGGTGGCCGGCATGGCCGCGGCCCCTCTGACCCCCTCCAGCCCCTCCACACACCAACCCTGCGTCCAGCTCATCCACTGCGGGAGAACTGGGGCTCACCCGTTGGGTGCCAGGGTTTGGGGCCCGGGTCCCTTGGAGGAGCTGGGGGGTCAGTCTTGGGGATATGGTTTTGGTAGGGGGGGGTATAGGGTCACCCTGGGCTCGGGATCACAAAGCAGTGCCATCCCAACTGTTTTAAAGCACAGCCTGGTGCAAGGATGTCCTTGTCATCATTAGGGTTTGGGATTAACCAGCAGAGGCAGAGGCACAGAGGAACAGAGGCAGAGCTGGAGCACCTTCCACCAGTGCCACTCCCCCCGCCAAGGCACCCCTTCACCAGGCGTCACAGCGTGCTTTTTCACCCCAGGATCCACCCAAAGCACCCAAGGATGCTTTTCCACCCATCCTTTTCCTCCCACCCCGCACCCCGGCAGCTGATTTACGGCAGACAAAGACGCAGCACGTGAGCGGCCGAGCGCTGCCCACCCCCCGCCCTCCGCGGCACTGGGTGTCCCCCACACCCCCCTGCACGTGGGTGCCTTCACCCCTCCTCTTCCTCCACCCAACAAATCCCTCATCACGGATCCCAGACCCCTGTGGAAGGGGTGACACCACGGAGCACCCCAAATCCAGCCGCTGCCCCCCAAACTGCCGGGCTCCGGTTCACCCCCACCCCGCCGGGCTCCGGAGGGGCTCGGCCGGCCCCGGGGTCACCATTGTCCCCGCGGCCTCCCCACAGTGACACAAGGGGACGTTTATTCCCAGCCAGCCCCGGCCACTCAATCAAACCATCTTTGTGTCCCGCGGGGCCTGGGGCGGAGCGGCCGCTGCACCTCGTCCCTCCAGCAACGTTTAAACTGAGATCCTTTGGAAAACGAGCCGGGCTGGGATGCTGGGATAAGAGTGGCCGTGCCAAGGGCACGTCTGGGCCCGGCCCAGAGCGTTTTGGGGGAGCCCAACCCCACCGCAGTGCCTCAGTGAGCTGAGACACCTCACTCTGCAGAGGAGGGTCAGGAAAAACGGCCCAGGGATTGCTGAGCCCTCAGGAGGCCTGTGCCCCATCACTGTGGGTACTGCATTGGTGGTGACCTCTGCAAACAGCCCCCAGAGCAGGTTTTGGCCCACATGGAGTAGTGATTCAAGCCCTGGGACAGCAGGACCAGCTCAGCTCCCCGCCACTGGCCACAAGGCCAGCAGGGAAATGTCCCTTTGCCTTCCCAGCCTGCGCCTGGATCCATCCCTGAGCAAAGCCTTTCCTTGTCTCCACATCACACAGCAAATCTTTTCCCAGTGCCAGAAGCTCCAGGGGCTGGTTTTGGGCTCACACACATAGGGGGCTCAGATCAGGAATCATCCCAGTCCCTTCCTGCAGCTCAGACCCCCATGGGAGCAGCCAGTGGATGCTGCTTGGGAATGGGGGTCCTGCCTCAGCTCCAGGAGCTGGTGCAGAGATCAAGAGGGAGTTGGGTGTGGGAGCCCTCGGGAGGAGCACAGGGGATTTAATATTAGCTGATCTTTCCAGTGCCTCCTTGGTGCAATATTCCCGTTTTCTTTTTTCCCCCAGCTCAAGTAAAATCAAAATAAAGCCACTTTCCTACCAAAGTAACTATGTTTGCTCTTAATTCTCCACCATAACCCAGTAAAATTAAACTCTAAGTACCAATTCTGAGGGGAAAAAAAAAAAAAAAAAAAGAGCATCTACCACAGAGTTTAATCCATCAGTTTCCTGTCCTAAATCCTTTTAGCTCCTCTGGCTGTATTTTTCCCCACCAAAACCCTCCTGCGCTTCACAGGGGCAGCTAATTGGGATCAGGGGCTGCATATTAATTTTGTGCTCCCATATTAAGGCAGGAACTCGGCCGGGAGCAGCGGCACATCTTCCAGTGGTGATTTCGGCTTCAATCCCGCTGATTCTTAGGTGCGAGTAAATAGGGAAAAGGAAACGTCGGAGCTGGACCTGGGAGCGGCAGGGACAGAGGCTCGCCAGGGCAGCGGCTCCATCCCAGCCCTCCCCACTCCATCCCGGGAGCAATCCCATTCATTTGGGCCATATTATCTAAGAAACCATTCCAGGGTGTTTTCTCTCCCTGGGGCAGGGAGGGGGAGCTGGGGGAAGGGATGTGCCTGCGGCCATCAGTTAATCTTTAGACAGAGACAGGAGGCTTTTTTTTTTTTTTGTGTGTGTGTGTGTGTGTGTGTGTGTGCGTGAGTGAGCGTCTTGAGGGAGTTTCAGGGGTGGAATAAAGCAGCTCTCTTTCGCTATTTCCCTCAGGATGCGGCGCACGAGCGGTGCAATACAGTTCTATTCCAGCGGTTATTTAAAAAAAAAAACAAACCACAAAATAAAATAAAA